AAGTAGCATAACCTGTACTTTCGTTTCATTGCAGGAATTTATGGCCGAATGACATTTTTGGAAGCAGTTCTGATGATGAAGTCCAGACTCTACTGAATATTTACTTCCGGCACCAAACACTAGGGCAATCTGGCACTTATGCATTGGTAGACTCTAACCAAAGCCTGACTGAAATTTGTGCGAAACTGATGGAGTTGAACATAGAAATCCGGGACATGATCCGGCGAGCTCAAAGCTACCGAGTGATCACTTCTTTTCTTCCAGATTCCAGTGTTTCTGGCACGAGTCTCTGACAAAAGTCTGGTGCCCCCTACCTCTTTCAGGCTGGGATTGCTTCCATGCTGGGATGAGATGGTTCAGTGCATTTTCAGCTTTAGAAAGAGTTGATCAAGACATACCCAATCTTGTTACCTTTACAATATTTTCCAAGAAAAGTTGGGCAGTGTTTTCAGAGTGCAGTCATAATATAAGAACAAAGGTAGCGTCAAATCCTTTGTTCTGAACTACACACACAAATGACTTTCACAGGGCAACTGCAATTCACTACTGAAGAAGTGACTTCCTTACATACCAAAGACTACTACACTGAGCAAGACTTCCTTTCTAGAAAATAGTTTTAGATATAAAAAGTGCAATCTCTTCTTCACTTGAGGATTTTTTTTAGTTTTGTACATTTATTCCTTTGACCAAGTTGTTAAAAACAGGCAGAATGAAGCTAGCGACAGGATACTGAAAGACTGTCACTGCGAAAGCTGAGAGCCTCTGCATATGAAAGTTGTTGTAAAGGACTACAAATGTGCACTGTATTTAAATATGATTACCGTATCTTCTAAATAGAGAAAAAAAATAAGCTGCTACAAAGTACATTTGTTGATGTTGCTAGGCTACTGTCTTGGAAGGTACTAGATCCTATTTCAAGAGGTCTGTTATTAAGACCCAAGTACCTATGAATGGACAAAGATTTTTTTTTTAAAACAAAAGATTTTGGCTGCTTTTTACTAGAGAGTTGCTTTTATGTATATTTATATTAAGAATGCTGGTCTGGCATAAGTTGTCATTTTGTAGAAAAATATCACGTCTGATTTAAGTTCTTTTGAACTGGTACATGCATCTTTTAATTTTAATGTACATTTGGATTTTAACACTGAAATTATTAAGTACAGATCAGATTTACTTTCTATTTTCAAGTGCTTATTAGTAATATATGTTCCTGTTTTCTCGTTTTTTTTTTTTGCACTTAACTGCTGTAAAGAGTTAAAACAAGTGCATGTAAGTTATTTGCACATTTGAGACACTTTTATTCCAACATTGTGTCGCTTATTCACCCTGTAAATACATTTAAAGGTTTTCGTGAATTTTCTTTTAATATTTTGATCATTACAGATCTCAAGTATAAAAAACTATATACTGTATGTGTGTGTATGTGTACATACATGCAAACATACATATATCTGTATACATATACATTAGCGTGTAAATGTACTAAATTGTAATGAGTTTATGCTATAATATATATGGAAACAGTTCTATAAGAATATTTTGAAATCAGGTTCTTTTTCAGTTGGGCTTGAATCAACATATAAATTAGTCCAACTTTTATGCGCTCACTATGCATCCAAACATTAACCTGCACAAACTGATATAAATTGAACAAAGTCCCTTAAATTTAATGTATTCTTGCTCGACCAGTTCTCTCTAGCTAAGCTTTGTCAATCTGGCGTCTTCCAGAGATGTTGGGACCACTAATACCAGAATTTCTACCTAGAGAATATACTGGAATTCTGGGACTTATAGTCCAAACAAGTGGGAAAGGAACCAGGCTGAAAGGGTTTCTGCAAATATATGAAAATTGATAGGCTTCTCTGTTCTCCCTTCCTCAAAACAGTAATTTGAGCATATATAAGAGAAGCAAGGTATTAGTTTGAATTGTTATGGAAAAATCAAGCTGTAAGAAATATGTTATGCAAAATGTAAGTGTACTTATTCTGTAACACCACAATTGAGCAGATGGGCTCTATAGGTGTGAACCTCTTCCTGTTGGATTGTGCTACCTTTATTATAGAAGCCAATTTAAAATTTTGTAAAAATGATTCAAACAGGGATTAAAATAGTGTATCTCACATTCAGACTATAAAATTAACATGTCATTTGCTAGGTATATATCTTGGTTTCTTTTTCCCTATTGAGTTGGAAGAAAGACAAGCTTTATGCTTAGTGATTAAGGCCTACTACCATAATCATATGAATTTGGGGAGTATTAATGGGATATAAAGTTATTTTTATTGCTTATAATCTTGTATGGCAAGTCCATGTCAGCTAACCCTCATGAAAGCTAACATGAAGTGCCTCTTTCACTGTGTGACTTGAGTGCTGCCCAACTCACTTACTTACTCTTCTCTTAGAGGAATGCTTTGTAAGAGATTAACAAATGTTTCTGAGTGTTAGTAAACCTAATATAATTGAACGATGAAGTTCATGTTTCTTCATTGTGCTACTTACCAGCTCTTGTATAGCACAGGCTTAAAACATCATTTTTTTAAATGAAATGTCAACCTATACACATGTACATATACCTAAGAACTATCATAATCATGCTTAATTGAACTTTATTTGCAAGTTCAGAACATGTGCTGTTTTCACTATAATTTTGCTATTATCATCTAAAAACCACTGAAAATAAGATGGAAGCTTCACTTCATGGTTATGTCTTTCCACATCTCCTTACTGAAATGCAACAGAAATGGGGGCAAACTCATTACACATGCAATGACTCAGGTTATTATTTTTGTATGTATGAAATAATTATGAAAATTGCAATTGCTTATGAATAATCACCAAATCTTATCAAATTCTTCCTGTTTTTAGATTGGCTTGAAATTGCATATTTAATCTATAGTGCTACGAAACTCAATATGTATCTCTTCTAATATAGGCTTTATCGTCATTTTTGCAAATTAGTTTTGAGAGTAATATCCCTCCTAAGACAAAAGTGCTAGTTTAACATGCACCACAAAATTCATAGTAATAGTACATTGGCAATCTGATATTGTCTTATATTATTAATACAAAAATATCTAAGTAAACCTAACCATTAATATGCTCAGGTATTTTTCCTCTTTAATTTCAACAAGACAGACAGGCCATCTGATGATTCAAGAAGACTACTGTCCTTTTTATTCAATTTAATAATGATTGTTATCCCTATCATATAAATCTATTACATATTCTATTTTCCTTCAGTGATTTAAGACTTACTTACATGTGTCTTTATAGAATGCCATAGTAGACATGAAAGTATATTGCTCAATCTTTATCAAACTTCAATATGTTCAATTATATTCAGAATCCTCACATTGTATCACTGTTTCTACAAAAAGATTGCAGGAATATACACTGCTCAAAAAAATAAAGGGAACGCTTAAACAACACAATGTAACTCCAAGTCAATCACACTTCTGTGAAATCAAACTGTCCACTTAGGTAGCAACACTGATTGACAATCAATTTCACATGCTGTTGTGCAAATGGAATAGACAACAGATGGAAAGCATAGGCAGTTAGCAAGACATCCCCAATAAAGGTTCTGGTTCTGCAGGTAGTGACCACTTCTCAGTTCCTATGCTTTCTGGCTGATGGTTTGGTCACTTTTGAATGCTGGCAGTGCTTTCACTCTAGTGGTAGCATGAGACGGAGTCTACAACCCACACAAGTGGTTTAGGTAGTGCAACTCATCCAGGATGGCACATCAATGCGAGCTGTGGCAAGAAGGTTTGCTGTGTCTGTCAGCGTAGTGTCCAGAGCATGGAGGCACTGCCAGGAGACAGGCCAGTACATCAGGAGACGTGGAGGAGGCCGTACGAGGGCAACAACTCAGCATCAGAACCACTACCTCTGCCTTTGTGCAAGGAGGGACAGGAGGAGCACCGCCAGAGCCCTGCAAAATGACCTCCAGCGGACCACAAATGTGCATGTGGTTGCTCAAACGGTCAGAAACAGACTCCATGAGAGTGGTATGAGGGCCCGACGTCCACAGGTGGGGGTTGTGCTTATAGCCCAACACCATGCAGGATGTTTGGCATTTGCCAGAGAACAAGATTGGCAAATTCGCCACTGCTGCCCTGTGTTCTTCACAGATAAAAGCAGGTTCACACTGAGCACATGTGACACACGTGACAGGGTCTGGAGGTGCCGTGGAGAACATTCTGCTGCCTGCAACATCCTCCAGCATGACCGGCTTGGCAGTGGGTCACTAATGGTGTGGGGTGGCATTTCTTTAGGGGGCTGCACAGCCCTCCTCCATGTGCTCGCCAGAGGTAGCCTGACTGCCATTAGGTACCAAGATGTGATCCTCAGACCCCTTGTGAGACCATATGCTGGTGCAGTTGGCCCTGGGTTCCTCCTAATGCAAGCCAATGCTAGACCTCATGTGGCTGGAGTGTGTCAGCAGTTCCTGCAAGACAAAGGCATTGATGCTATGGACTGGCCCACCCATTCCCCGGACCTGAATCCAATTGAGCACATCTGGGACACCATGTCACGCTCCATCCACCAACACCACGTTGCACCACAGACTGTCCAGGAGTTGGGGGATGCTTTAGTCCAGATGTGGGAGGAGATCCCTCGGGAGACCATCCGCCACCTCATCAGGAGCATGCCCAGGCATTGTAGGGAGCTCATACAAGCACGTGAAGGCCACACACACTACTGAGCCACATTTTGACTTGTTTTAAGGACATTGCATCAAAGTTGGATCAGCCTGTAGTGTTTTTTTCCAGTTTAATTTTGAGTATAACTCCAAATCCAGACCTCCATGGGCTGCTAAATTTGATTTCCATTGATAATTTTTGTGTGATTTTGTTGTCAGCACATTCAACTATGCAATGAACAAAGTATTTAATAAGAATATTTCATTCATTCAGATCTAGGATGTCTTATTTTTGTGTTCCCTTTATTTTTTTGAGCAGTGTAGTATTTGCAAGATTTAATCTGGCATTTAAAATCCCTCTAAGTTTTCCACCTTTTTCTAGTTAAGTGTATCAGCTCTCCCATCTCTTTTTAATGCTCATCAAGGGAAATACAATTTAATTGGAATTTAAGTTTTATTAATTAGGCAGTACAGTGATAAATTACAAATATATCTTAGCATTGCAAACATCTTTAGTCCATTATCCATTGCCAGGTCAGAATCCTAAAGTCAAATCTACATTATGAAACAAAGTGCATAGCTAAATGCAACCTCAGCACACAAACTGCACAGATCAAACAATGTATTTGAAGCTGTAGGTGTTGTCGCAAGATAATCTTTTGCCTTTACAGCGGCCACATAGCTCTTGCCGGTGGGGTCTCTTGAGGTCAATGTGCCTTTTTTTCTGGGGACAGGAGCAACGAGTCTTTGAACAGATCTTAGGATAACAAACTTTAATTAGTAGAAGAAATCAAAACCTATTCCAAAGATTATTTTTGTGATTATACTTAGTGATTTTCTAGAAACTTTTGAATGATAAAAGATGAAAAATATTCTATTAACTAAGATTCAAGTTAATCCTATTGCACAAATGTGCCATAGATGCCAAGTAATATTAAACAAAGGTATGCTTTCATAACAATAAGCACCGTATACCCATGTTGAACTAGAAATAAGGAAAGTTTTTAAAATGCCATATTCTATATTTTTAATAGTGCTGTAACGACCATCCTCTGAAGTTCTCTATTAAATTCTTTGGGTTAGTTTTGGTTATTAAGAATCGGGTGTCAAACTTACAGCCCACAGGCCAGATGCATCATGCACTGGCCACACCCACTCCCATTTTAGCAAAGGGGGGGAAGTTGTGCTACATCATGTGATGTGACACCACGAGTTAGACACCACTGAACAAGGAAATGAAGCATCTGAATTATCCATACTTATTGGTGAACATTAAGATTTAACAGTCACCATCAGAGGAAGAAAATTCATTAACTCTTCACAAATATCTATTAAATCCAAAAGTATAATTTGACAAAAGTTATTACAAATGATATAATTTACCTAAATGTAAGTGCTTTATAGTTCAGATGCACCAAACTTCCAATTTCCATGGATGGTCTGACCTGACATTCTGCCTATTGTATCCAAAATCTTTCTATGAGAAGTTTCAAAGTTTCACCTTTATTGCCATTATTTGTTGACGTAGAGGAAGATAACTTATAGAAATCAATTTGTCTTGGAGAATAGTATTGCATATTACAATACTCTGATTCAAATAGTTCCTTAATACACTGCAATTTTAAGCCAAGTAAAACACCCTTCTTTAGATACTTCTTTAATGTGTTAATAGCAGTTGCTGAATATCAAGTCTTACTTACATGGCACTGAATTGCTTCTACTTTATAGGGATTAAAGCTCTTTTGGCACTTGCGACAAAGCTGCTTAAAGTATACCTAAAAATGAAAGTGGTACATTAGAGGGGAAAACCTTAGATCTTAGATCTAAGGGAAAACCTTAGATCAGACTATCTTTAAAATGTAGCATGAAAAAATTATACATTTAAGCACAACTAAATACTCATTGTGCCAAACAGGCATTAAAAATTCTTATTCAGCTCATTTTATGATTTCCTATTGACATGGCACAATTTAACCCAAAGCAAAAAAAAAAGGTTTGTGTATCAAACTATTTGCGGTTGGTCACCACTATAGTTAACAGGTAAACACTGTACAAAAACATCACTTCTAGTTTGCTCCTCTCATTCTATCAAAACTGAGCCTAAAAGGATTCTGCAAGTTTGAGACAGTTACATTTTCTAACATGCAGTCCAGACATTGAAGCCTTTTCTGAAATTTACACCTTAAACAATAGAAGCAATTTTTCTAATGTTCTTCTAAACATACCTTATTGGTTCCAGAAATGCACCACACATAAGCACTTTCCCATCTGGTCTTACAGTCATTGCAATGGAAATAGCCATATTTCTGTTCCAAGAACTGCAACAGAAAGTTGTGCATGAACAGTAAATATTAAAATTTGATTTGCAAGATTATTCTTAAATCACAACATTTAAAGCACACTTTTTAAATGCAGAAATCTGAGGAAAAAAATCCCATTCACTATCTACGTTCTTCTGCAAGCATGGTGGGGAGGGTTCTCCAAATATTAAGATAATTATTTCTGGCCAAATACAGTTTTGATCTACTCCCACAGCCAAATTTATGCATTCTATTTTGACACCTTCAAGAACTATACCAATTTCTCATTCAGGGGTGAAATTACTTTACTCCATATAGCAATTACAAGTGCTACCCCAGAAAGCATAATCCTAAACATTAAAGTCAAAAAAGTGAGAAGTACAGGAGTATAAGAAGGGGTCTATATCGAACGTGATTCTATACAATTCTTAATCCCAACATCTCTTGCGAATATACTGCTACAGTCCACACCTGTGTTTGGGGTGGGGGTAGGGAGGCAAAAATGTGACAAACAAACATTACATCCTGGCTATATTCAAATGTTCGCCATACACGTTGACAGGTTTGTTTAAATGTCAGGCCCTGCAGAAGAGGCTAGTACAGCGTTTCTCAACCTCAGTTACTTTAACTCACAGAATTTAATTCCCAACTGGCTGGGGCATTCTTGGGAGTTGAAGCCAACACATCCTAAAGACGCTGAGGTTGGGCTAAGGCTAAGCCAAGCAAGCCAAGGGTCCAGCTAAGGCCAAGTTCTTTTCTAAGGCGTTTGGAAAAATCCCCCTTCTGCCTTTCATCAAAGCGCGGCTGCCAGAAGCCGGAGGGATTTCCAAGCAAGCGCAGCGTCTGCAGAAAACCGCGCCGCTCACCTGGAAGGTAGTTCTTTTATCCTCTTCGGAGAAGCGACTCCCGCCTTCCTCAGCCTCGCCTCCTTTCCCGACCTGCTGCTGGGCAGAGTATCCGACGGCGTGCCCCGCCAGCCCGTCCTCAGCTCCCGCCTCCTCTTCGGCCTCGCCGTCCCCCTTCTCTACGGACGTTCCTTTTTCCTCGGACATCTGGCTGAACGGAAGCGAAGCCGGCCCTTCAGGCGGCGCCTTCGGTTTCCCCGCCGCTTCGGGAAAGATGAAGAGGCGGCGACCAAGCACGGGCGAGTAGAAGCCTGGGAGCGGCGGCTGCTCCAGGCTCAGCCGGCCCGGGGGGCTTTGAGGCCGGACGGCCTGGAGCGGCCGAGATCCGAGCGAGCATTGCACCGCGGCGTCCGCCTGCGGGTTCACCTGAACACCCACTTCTTTGGTGTTGGCTTTACGGAGCCGCGGGGTGAGGCCCGGGCTGACGTGCGAGAGCAGCGCCTTTAGCTGCGCTCGCTTATAAGTATCCAAATAATCCGGCGAAGACACCGGAGGAGTCGCGGAAGGGGCCGTGAGCAGCCCGCGGTAGGGGTTAGAGATGCCGCTGCACTTGCTTTGCTTCCAGCTCGGCTGCTTCTGATTGGGCGGTAGCCTCGAGGCCACGTTGTGGCTGGGGGTAAAGCTGCTTCCATAACTTTGATAAACGCTGTAAGACGGATAAACGAAGCGCTCCATGCCGGGACAGGGAGCCTGGTTTAAGGGGGAGGCTTCCTCCCTCCCTCGCTTTTATCGCCCCCCAGGAGCAATTAGTGCTCATTAACTAGTGGCGAAAACCAATAAACCCTCTTAATTCAGGAACAGTTGCGCTCGTAAAGTACGCTGGGAATTTACGCACCGGAGTTAACAGGTTTGAACTCACAACAATGTGCGTTCCCTCTCCAAAGCGCTTCCACTAAATGTTTGCAACCAAGACCCATTGATGATGAATCGGACAGGTTTTGGGTTGAGTTGGGTTGTAACCGAAACAGTGAAACTACAACAAGATTCAGCAGATGCTTTGAAGATAAAGGGATACTTTACCCAAAATTAAGTCCTACCGAAATATCAGGGAGCGGAAACATTTACTCCAAGGTAGTACATAGATATCAACTGAATCTTGGAGATTGCAATCCAATAAACCTATAATATTGGCCCAATTGCAATATAACACCCCGTTCTTTACAAACCTAGTTATCCAAACAGCACTGGGTCTCTTGGTCAAAATGTTATTTCGGGTGCTGTGGAAATCCAAACAGCAAAGTTAGATTATTTAAAATGCTCTGTAAATCCAGGCAATTTGACTCAGTAAAACTAAAGGGCCTCTGTTTGTCTGAATACAACTAACTCCCCATTTGTCAGAAAGCAACCTGGCTAGATTGTTCAGCACTAACCTCTCTGATAAAACACTTAATGGCTCATTGTTCATGCAATACACTAACTCTTAATGTGATGTTTGGTCTTAGCTTAAACATGGCAATTTGTTAACTAGGTTTATGGTGCAGAATGTTAAGTTTTAATATGTGTAAATGACTTCAGACTTTACGCAACATGTAAAATAAAATCACATGAACATAAAAATGTTTGTGTCTTTATATGCAAACTCCTCCAGATTCAAGCCCCAAAGCATACCAGTGACTTTGAACTAGACATGCACAGTACAACCAACTTCGGAGTGTCTAGATTTTCAATCATCCAGGTAATGGTTGTCCCAAAGATGCTTTTCCAAAAGGCAACTGGACTTTCTTGGGTCCCCACCCCCCACACAAAAAAACGTTGAACTTCTTCAGAACTCAAGCAAAACACCTTTAAGAAACAAATATCAAGAAAGTTCAATTGATTTTCAAAAAAGCACCCTTGGGACAGCCAACCATGGGGAGAAACCGGGAAAAGGAGTGCCCTCTCTTACTTCCTTTAACTCCTAGAAGAAAGGCAGAATATAAATAGCAAATCAGTTAATTCTGTAAAATGAAAATTTTTTTCACAAGAGATGTAAATCTCTTGGGAAAAAAATTTACATTTCTCATTGTACTTGTTGTACAGTAACTAATGTACAGCTATTTCAATGAGATAATTTGCAGCTTTGGGGGGGGGGAAATGGGAGGGGGAAAGGGTCTTAACACTCCTGAGAGAAAAATGAAACTATGTGCCTGTCTCTGAACGATCAAAATTCCGTGGTTTGAGGCACACTTTTAAGTGCTGCATATAAACTAGCGTGCTAGAACGGGCCAATTCTTTTTTTGTAAAAAAACAAACCACAAGTTCCATGATCCCTTGAGTGCGGCAGGATTAAACCATTACAGCGGGGGTCTTCAAACTTGACAGCTTTAAGCCTTGTGGACTTCAACTCCCAGAATTCCTCCTGCAGTCATGTTAGCTCGGGAATTCTGGGAGTTGAAGTCCACAAATCTTAAACTTGGCAAGTTTGAAGACCCTTGAACTGCTGGCTCTTCTCTTAGTTTCGGGCCTTCATGCCATTGCCAGTGAAAAACGGAAGCAAGAGCTGGGCTCCACTGTTCCCAGCCGGAGACCAATTTCATTTCCGTCCGTAGGGTGATCGGTATGTACGAAAAACCTCCGGATTGTGAGTGTGGATCAGCCGTGAGGAAATGATTGAGTCCACCCCCTCTGGAACTGCGCATGCGTTGGCGGCTTTTGGCGCCTTCTTTTGTCTTTCAGAGGAAGTTGTTGCTGAGAGGACTTGGAGCCAGGCTGTATCGGGGGCTTCTTTTTTGGGGGGCCTCGAGAAATCTTCCTTCGTCCGTTGATTTTTTTTTCTTTTTTTGCTCTCAACTACATTTCCACAGGGCTGCTCTTCTGAGGTTCTTCTTAGCTCAGAAGAAACTCGCTGTCCCATGAGGAGAGGCACTGAGGTGAAACGTGTGTGAGTGGAAGAAAGGTCGGGTTTTCTTCCAGGGCTTGACATGGAGAGGAAAGCCTTGGCTCCTTCTCTGTATCTGGGATGGTGCGGTCTGAGGGAAAGGGACTCTGACGGTGCAATCCCGTAGGATAATTTATTTGGTCGTTGTGAGGTCTGAAGTAGGATTTCTGTGCCACCCCGCCCCCAGTCAGTTTTTTTTTACTCCTGCCGACTGTCTGGACAAGTCCCTGCAGTTTTCTTGGCAAGATTGTTCAAAAGTGATAGGCTGTTGCCTGCTGTCTAGGACTGAACCCAGCTGGCTTCATGCTCAAGGCAGGGCTGAAACCTGTACACTTCTGGTTTCTAGCTTGATGCCTTAACCACTAGATCAAACTAGATCTAAAATGATTATAATTATATTTTCCATTTTCCCTATATTGGCTAGTTAAGGTGGTGGACATACCTAATACTTCTGCCTGTTACTCAGAGTACATTAAATTAACATTTGAATTTAATATTCCCAACTAAGCGTGTAGAGATAGAAAATATTAGGACAAATACAGACTTAAACAAAAATATATCTGTGGCTATATACTATGCCAGCTGGTCATATAGTAAAATTAGTGCTCAGTGTGTTGTGTTAGCACAGCTGATTGGGATATTTCACCAAACTGGGGCCCAGTTGGTCCTGCAAAACTTAGTCATGGCAAGCTCCATTGAATACTTTTTTACTTGTAGATATTATGTAAATAGAAGGATTTACTTCCAGGTAGGTATATTAGGATGGCAGTTTAACAGTGAGAGGATTGATGGCCTAAATAGATATTCAAGTCTAATTTCCTGCTTTGCACATTAAAGCAGCAGTCAAAGGCTGTTGAGTAGGCTTGCAAATTTGTCCAATTGGATTCAGCCCTCTGTTTTGTACAGGCTTATGTTCTTAGAACCTAGTTAGCAGATGTGGAGGTGGGAGAGGGATAGACTTGCTTTCTTTTAGCTTCATTCTTCATGATAGTTTTCAGTGGCTATGTAGCTAGTGCAGATCCTTCCATAACAATGTAATTAGACATTAAACTTGATAATTTTAATGTCCTTTTTTTCTGGTTTTCTTTTAGCTACACCACTTCCAATATCAGGTTTGACATAGTGGCTAAGGTACTAGCCTAGAAACCAGAAGATTGAGTTCTAGTCCTGCCTTAGGCACGTAAGCCACCTGGGGGACTTTGGGCCAGTCACACACTCAGTCCAACACACTTCACAGGCTTGTTCCTGTGGGAAAAACAGGAAGAGGAAGTATTGGGTGTCTACTGCCTTGAGATAACTATAAAGTAATAATGCTGAGATAGACATCTAACAAATTTCCAGTTAAAAGTCACAGCCAAGTTATTTATCATAAATTGTTATTTTTAGAGTTTTGTCTTAATCTGCAATTTATAGCAGGTCCTAAGTTTATGAATCCTTTTGAATTTTCAATGTTTCTGCATAAATATAAACCTAAAGCATGAGAAAATTCCAGACCTACATATTTGTATGTGTAAAAATGTAAACCTTTGCTTTTAATAACTTAAGATCCCTCTTTGGGCAGCAATAACCAATTAAAAATTTCCAGTAACTGTTGATCAAGTCTGAAAACAAGTTTGCCAACTGCAAACTCAAATCACGTACGTATACCGTTGTCAGAGTAAATATCAGACGATCTCAAGATTCCCGCTGCATTTCTGCTTCCCGAGCCAGCTGCTCTTCTTTGTCCCCTCAGATAGCCCTATTTCCCCCTGCCCCTGATTCCCCACTGCAACCACTTGGACGGAATGGGTCTCAGAGGGGTCGCTAAAGAAGCTGGTTCCACCTATCAGCTGCAATGGGCAGTTCCGGGCCCCTCTGCTTAGGCTGCCAACTAAGGCAACTCGCAGTTTACTCAATTGCTCAACTGGTTTCAAAGGGAGGTTGGGGGGACATTTTATTAAAAGCTTTTCTGAGCGACAAGTCATGTAAGCAGAGTTGATAAACTGGAATTGAATTTATATTGGAATGAGGTGAAGGGAGAGAATGGAATGGAAAGTAGGTTGGTTATCCAGATGCAGGTTACATGTAGGAAAGATAAGTATTTTTATCAATTAACAATTGTATTAAAAACATGTTTGTTGAGACCTTTTGTGAGAGCCTGGTTATAATATATCCAGGTTCAGGAATCTTGCTCAATTTTGGGTTAATTTTTTTGTTTTAAAATAGCATTTTTTTAATCTGGAAGAGTGAACTGATGTTAAACTTGTTACTCTTAATTCTTTTACAAAAAGTTTGTACCATTTGACCTGACAGAATCCAGAGGGGATAGGGGCATTGCTAGTAGATGGTAGCATATATTCCATTAGAGGAAAAGCTTTTCAAACTTTTTAAATATACTGTTGGGGCCTTTCTTGGAGATGGGTATGCTGCAGGAACTGGTTTCCACGTTAGTATCATTGTGTTGATTTTTTGTTGCTTGTGAGAATCTACTTCAGATGTATTGACTGCATACAAATATGGACCTATCATTCAGTTTCTGAAATATTACAGTATTGTCCAGTGTAGGGTATAGCTTATTCTTGTAATATTATTTTTGGATTTGTTGTGGCAGTACTTATGGATAGAAGTTACATACTTAAAACATGTTACAATTCTGAATAGGAATAATGAGTTATAAACTGATCAGTTTGAAACAACATACCAATTTAAATTAAAAGTTTGGCCTAATTTTCCTCAAAGATCAACTACTATAGTTATTACACAACAAACACTGCCAGCAGTTTTCATTGATTATATTTTGTCTTGACTCTCTTGCCAAACAATTAAGGGAATTAGTCAGAAGTTACAAAATCCTATTCTCTGTCTTTAGTCTTTTAATTCTATTTAAGAGTTGCCTAGATCTATGTTTGAGCCAGTCCTTATAATTTGTCAAAATCTGGAATTTTCATATAAGCTATAAATTATACAGCTTTATTTTATAAACTTATTGGTTCATTCATGATGTTAGTGCTGTGACTAAATGTTTGCATTTCTTGTGGGGAGGGTATATGATGTCTAAGTAGTCTAGAAGAAAAAAGAATAGAATTTCTGTCAAATATGATGAATTCATATAATTTTGAGAACACTTTATTTTGCAGACTTTCTTAACTGTATTAGCAGTGCAATGGAAAAGAAAAATGTTGATATATCCCCAAAGAAACCATCTTTGTTTGAAATATTCAAAACACAATACAGTGAATCAGGTACTATTTCAATTCAAGCTGCTTTGAGGGCAGGGAGGTGAATCCTTTTTTCTTTGCATGAAACCAGTACCATACAGCACTGCAGCCAGGCCAGCTTTGCCTCAGCAGTAGTGGGAGGAAGAAAACAGCAGCAAAAGTCAATGGGGAGACAGCAGATGATCAAAAGGACATAAATGGTGGTCAGATAGGCAGGTGGGACTTACAGCACTTGTGGTTGTAAGTATGGATAGAGTGCCAAGAGCCCAGATTTTAACCAAATTTTGGTACAGGTTGTAAGTCAGTACTATTGTGCTTAAT